CCCGCTCTTCCTGATCTATGAAGTCTTGTGATGACACGAATACACAGAGTCCATGTTGGAAGCCTCAGGCCCCTCCCGGTGTCTCGTATTTCACCGGGGAGCCAGCTGGGAAGGAGAAGGGCAGTGTCCATCTGGGTGTGGGGGGACAGGTTAGGCTGGGCTCTCAGAGTTGCTGGCTGTCCTGGCTCCACCTCAGGTCTGAACTTCCTGAATCAGGGCGAGGGTGGGAGGGGTCACTCGCCCTGATGGCCCTGCCGGGTTCTAGCTCAGCACCTTATTTCACCTGAGTCAGGCGCCACGTCCTCCAGGACCCAAGCTAATAAACCAGACGCCCATGCTGTGTGCTCAAGAAAAGCATAGGGCCCGGCCCTGACCGCAGGAGCCAAGTGGCTCTCTTCAGCTTCACACACATTGGACCACAGTGTGCCTGCCTAGGATGCTGGCTTCAATGACAGCTTGACTGTGGACTCTGCTGGACCTGGAATTGAATCTCAGCTTCACCATTTACTAGCTGGGTGACCAAGGGCATGTTATGTACCCTCTCTGAGCCTCAGGGTTGCTCCTTTTTTTATAGCAATAATACTGGTACGTCCCTGAGGCAGTTGTTATGAGGATGCGAGGTCTGTGCCTAGCACTATGCCTGCTGGTCTCAGGATGCAGAGTGAAGTCGTTGCATCCACAGAAGGTCAAACAGAGCACTATGTGCACAGGGAGGAGAGAGGAATTACTTTTGGCCGAGGTACAGGCAGGGTAGAGGGGGTTAGAGGGCTGAATAGACCCTGGAGAAGCAGGACTTTGACAGCAGAGAAAATGTTCTAGGAGGCCCAGGAAAAGGACATAGGCAAAGGCCTGGAGGGAGTATGTCTTAGTCCACTTGGGCTGCTATAACAAAGTACCACAGACTGAGTGGCTTTTAAACAACAGAAATGTATTGCTCGTGGTTCTGGAGGCTGGAAGTCTGAGATCAGTGTACACCATGGTCAGGTAAGGGCTCTCTTCTCATTGTGTCCTCATATAGTGGAAGGGGTGGAGCTCTGTGGGGTCTCTTTTATAAGGTCCCCAATCCCATTCATGAGGGCCCCATCCTCATGACCTATTGCCTACCCCCAAAGGCCCCACCTCCTAATACCATCAGCTTTGGGGGTTAGGATTTCAACATATGAATTTGGGGGCAAGACAAACATTCAGACCACAGCAGAGTTCATATGGTGTGCTTGGGAGATGGGGTCATCTGGTGTGGCTGGGGTGCTGGGGTGGTGACCAGGGAGGGGAGTGGGCAGGAGGGGCGGCTGCAAAGGGAGGTTGGGAGCAGAGAGAGAAGGCTTGGGACACCAGGGTGAGCAGCTGAACTTTGAAGTGAGACTTGTGCTTCTCAAGCCATCCGAACATGAGCCAGGACACCGTGTATTCAGTGTGGAGGCACTACACGCTCAGGGGGGTCAGGGAAGGGGCTGGGGGGTGGTCACAGGGGCTTTGTGGAGGAAGTAGAGCCCAGCCACGCTGGGCAAATGCTGGAATATGGCTCGGCAGAGAGAAGGGGAGCACCCAAGAGAAGGGTATGGCTTGGGTACATGTCAGGGTGTAAAGAGAAAGGACACTGGGCTTAGGGGCACAGGGAGAGAGAGGATGGCCTGGAGCCACTGATCCAGAGAGAAGGGGATGACGTCACAGATCAGCGAGGAACTAAGCTCTTGCTCTTGCTGCCAGTCCAGCCGCCCAGAAGCAGCCGCTCACAAACCCTCGCTTTGCCCCTCAGGTGTCCTCCCCTCCCCGGCCTCAGGGCCAAGGATCTTGGCATTGGAGTCAGCACCCCCTGACACCCTGAGGCTGGAACCATGCCCCTCCTGGAGAAGGGCACACTGAGGGCCCAGGGGAAGCCCCTGCCCAAGGGCACACAGGGAGTCACATCCCAGACAGGGCTGGAACCCAGGTCTCCTAACTCCCAGCCAGCACCCTGAGCACCTACCCACAGCTCTAGTTTTAAGTGAGGAAACTGAGGCTCAGAGTCTGGAAGGGCTGACAGTTCAGATCCATCCAACACTCAGTGTTTCGATCTCAGCGTGCTCTCTGTGCAAAGCCCTTGTGGAGCACCGAGAGCACATGGAGCCGGGCATCCTCACCCAGGTCCTGGGAGGGGGGCTGTAAAGGCAGAGGACCAGCGGCTCCCAAGGTGGGGGGAGGAGGCCAGTCAGCGCTGCCAGGACCACTCTGACTGACCTTCCCGCTTCTGCCAAAGCCCCCTCCACGGGCAGGCCTCCCCCGAGCCTCTGCAGACCACACGGTCAACTTACTGCGCATCAGACATGACACACACAACCAAGGTTAAGAGGTCAGTCAGCACACCTACTATGCGCCAAGCACTGTGATACACACCAGGCCTAGGGAGGGAATCAGACCGAAGAGATACCGTTCACAGCACGCCAGGCCCACGTATCCCGGCAGGCCCTGCACACCCACTGCCACCCCTCCCCCACCCTCTACTTGTCTCACAACATTCAGAGGACACTG